CAAGACATACAAGTTTGCAGAAACAATCCAGCTAGATAGTTTTTGTTAAGAACTGGTTTGCTCAAAGTGAAGAGGGGGACTGATTCTAAGGGGCTTGGCCTCAGCTCATACACTGTGCCCCTTATCCAAGTATGTGCCCTGCATTTCAGATGAAGCCCAATGATGGTCCGACAAAATCTGAAGGACTTCCAGAGGCTGGCTACTCTGGTGGAGTGCTAGAGGACTTCTGGAGGAGCATGGGAAACATCCAGAGGAGCATGGGAGAGTTCCAGAGGAATGCAGGAAGTGCTCAGGAGAGTTCCTACTCCAAAGGGAGTATAGAGACTCTTAGGTAATACTTCTACAGGAAACAGGATGGAAGGTACAGAGGACAGGATGTCCAGAGGTATGAAGGGCATAGAGGCTACATTGGACTTCATCCAATGTAGAAACAAACAGAGGTAGACTACCCTAAGGTAGAGTCAGAGAGATAGGAATTGGACCTAAGTCCAGCAAGAGGGTAAGTGCCAGAAAGGCAAAGCTCCAGCCTAGGGAATCAATCCCTAGGCCTGATGAATAGGACAGAACTTAGTTGGACCAAAGTCCAAGAGAAGATTGGGCAAGTCTAAGTTGATATTTAAACTGAGGAAACTACAGGAGTATGTATAGGGGTTATATACTAGAGAATATCTGAGGGGATCAGTAAGCAAAGGAGCAAGGCTATGTATGAGCATGTGGAAGCACATTAGTAAGTAAGATGGAACATAAGTAAATGAACTCAGAGATGAAGACTCATACAAGGATCAATAAGCAAGATGGAACAAGAGGTAACCGAAAGCCGGAAAGGTAGAGATGTCTAAATGGGGATAGGTGCAGGATATCAGACAGAAGGTGGGAATATGTCCAGAGGTAGTTATGGTTAATATCCAGAGGTCCAGAGATCTGGGGATCCAGAAGATGAGGTAGATACAGGACCAGGATATGATGAGGTGAATATAGTCCTGAATCCAAGACAAGGTGAAGTCTGGATGTCTTGCTGGATGGAGTGTGCATAGGGTGGACAGGATAGGGGGGTACAGATCAGGCTAGCAGTGGAGATCCAATGGTCTGGAGCTCAGGGGTAATTCTGCAGTGGAGCTGATCCTGCTGAGGTGTAGAGCAGATAGTGGAGGGAGAACTAGGAATGAGTTGGATATGAGGTGGGGTCCAGACATAGGCTCAGAAGGCATGGGAATATGATGGAATGTGGGTCCAGTGTGAAAGACACAACCTGACTGGATACTTGATAAAAGTACTCAGCCAGTATAATGATCAAAGCTCTGCCTAGCTGCTACACCTGCAAGCAAGAACATTCAACCCAAGGGAATCAATGGACTAGGCTCAAGCTCAAGAGATAAAATGAGTGACAGGGGAACACTTCAAGCCAATGACAGAAACTATGTTCCAGGAGCTATCTGGTGAGCTGAGAAGCTACAACTAGGAAGCTACAACTAGGGGATGCTACTAAATAACCCAAGTGAATGGGGAGCAACCAAGAACTGGAGACAAGGGGAAACTGAGTAGTGACTGTAGAGTCCTAGGTAAAGGGTAGATGATTATATAAGCAGTAAAAATGCGAACATAACCTAAGGAAAGTAACAATAAGAGAAGTGTAGTAAAAACTACCATTTGCAGGCTAGAGTCAATATGATTGTGATACCAGATTGTGGGATATGACAGTCTGACCAAGAATGAGCTTGGTATATTCCCTTGTAATCATTACCTTTCATCTTGATTTAATATTATGATCCTGTAGCACTAGCTAGTAATATATTTTTCTCCTTCCCCCTTACTTGGTCAAAAGATATGCTCACCCTCAACAAATAGCCCAATCTAGAGATCCTCAATCCACTCTATGACCTGACACCTTTTTCCAGTATCACAGCAGTTGTGACAGAAGTTGGAGTTATTCTGCCAAGCTCCACCAGCTCAATTCCACTTGTGCTCAGTTACACTGCACCGTAACATACCATACATAGTATTCACTGTGGAAATGAGAAAATGGCCTCATCTAGATAGAGTACAGATAGAAGAATCAACTGGACATGAACAAGTACATCTGCCCAGGTCCAAAAAACCTATGGACTGGCATGATTTTAGGACCCTAACCATACTCTAGTCAGATGTGATATCTGTTGTCTAGATTTAAGCCCATCAGACAAACCATTCTCAAGGTTGCATGTGGATATAGTATATGTACCACCTACATGAAAGGACAACCACATGACTCTATGAGCCTAGCATGTACATGAACATGACTGTCACAACACATGAAACAATGCATAATTTCTCAGTCAGAAAAATACACATTGATGTCTAGAAGCACAACATTGCAAGTCAGTGGAAGTCTGGACAGTATTTCAAACTTACTTGGGAGAATGGAATGGAGAGGGAAGCAAAGAGCAAAGAAAGAGTGCACTGCCACAGGGCCAGTACTTAAAGGATGCCAAGCAGGTTTCACACATGATAAGACAAGGCAGCCAGTCAAGGCCCTAGGAATAGTCATCCCAATAATGTAAGCATTTTCCCATGACATATTTTTTACAGAAAAAATGAGACATTTATGTCTGACAAAACCCTTTTCCCACTAACCTTGGGAGTCAGGGAACCAACTCATTCTGCAAATTTCCCACAGGAGCTTTTTCCTGATGTAACCATAATACCAACTAATTATCTGAGACTGGAGGGAAGAACTCTCACCAGATGAGATGCAACTGTGAAAGGAAAGGCTATGGACCCAGCACTTACAGTGGCTCAAAAAAGTGTCTCAATGTTTGTGACTTTTCATGTAATTGCTGTATTATGAGCCAGGGTGTGAGAATATGACTAAGCCATAGGGAGGTGTGGGAAAGCTCTGCTTCCAAGCTTCATGTTTGATTCCTATAGCATGGGAAGATTATGTCATCAAGTGAAGATATGGTTAATTTAATTTGGTGACTCATTAAGACACTTTTTTGACTTTTAGTTTGGCTAACACAATCTCTATGATTCTAGTACTTGGTGCTTCCTTCTGTTGCTCTAATTACTTCCACCACTCTTCTATGCATACTATCTATCAATTTGAGGCATTCCTCATCAACAATCTTGCCCCACTCTGCTGCAACTCTCTCCCACAGCTAAAATAACCCCTATTGAGGATCTTGATTGACTGCAAGTGATATCTTGAGTAATTACCAGGGCTGTTCAATAGGGTTGAGGTCTAAACTGGACTTGCCATGATAGCACACTGATACCATAGTTTTCAAACCATTTTATGGTCAACTTGAAGTATGCTTAGGGACATTGTCTTGATAGAAGGTAACATCTTATTCAATAATTCTTGATTCTTGCATGCTTCTGAGCAGATAGTTTTCCAAAATTGAAATATGCTACTCTGCATCCATCCTCCCCCCCACCTCACAGAGAGTTCCTACTCCATTCCACCTCATACAACACCATACCATCAAGTTTCCTACTTTACATACTTTAGTGTTTTCTTGACTTTTCTTTCTTCTAGTAGTTCTTCTGCCTTCCATCACATGTATTCCTAGCCACCTGACCCCATCCTATTGATTTTGTCTCATCTGACCAGGTAGTCCTATTCCAGTCCTCAACAATCCAATATTGAGGCTTTAAAGCCAAGGCTGGTCTCCTTCTCCTATAGGCTGAAGACAGGAAAGGTTTTTTCTGCCTGTTTACAACTTTAAGATTGGCTGCCTTAGGAGTATCCTTGACTATTTGAGTGGAGAGAGCAGTGTAGATGATTGTAATTAATCAATTTGGTGACTTGAGTAGTATTGGCAGCCTGCCTAGTTGGAATATTATGAACAAGAGATTTTTTGTTATATGGTGTAAGCTTGAAAGGACAATCTAGTTTGATATTTTTCTTATCTGGCATGACTTTTTTATGATCCTAATGAGAGTAACCCTGCTCAGACCAGTTTTGGTAGCAATCTGCCTGGTGTACAGATTAGAAGAGCTGAGGATAATAATAGGGGCTATTTTAGCTGTGGAGAGAGTTGCAGCAGAGTGGGGCAAGATTGTTGATGAGGAATGCCTCAAATTGATAGATAGTATGCATAGAAGAGTGGTGGAAGTAATTAGAGCAACAGAAGGAAGCACCAAGTACTAGAATCATAGAGATTGTGTTAGCCAAACTAAAAGTCAAAAAAGTGTCTTAATGAGTCACCAAATTAAATTAACCATATCTTCACTTGATGACATAATCTTCCCATGCTATAGGAATCAAACATGAAGCTTGGAAGCAGAGCTTTCCCACACCTCCCTATGGCTTAGTCATATTCTCACACCCTGGCTCATAATACAGCAATTACATGAAAAGTCACAAACATTGAGACACTTTTTTGAGTCACTGTATCACACCACTTCATTCCCTCTGTATAAATACAATGTCAACCTCCACCCAACAACAAGCTGATAGAGTACTCATTTCCATTGATACATAGCCAGAACCCATATTTACATATGATAGATTAGTCAGAAGTAAGCCCCCCGCGAAATGGCTATGTCCTACTAGTACATGGGGTCTTCGACCCCAAAGGACAAAAAACTGTATTTAAAAACAAAAACAAAAAAACAAAAAAAAGCACATAGAGCAACTACACCAACGAGTGTAAGTGCATCGACGCCCCGGTAGAGGGCAGCCGCTGGTGACTGTAATGGTGGGAGAAGAGCAGACACTTCTGCCTCCGTGGTATTCCCAATTGCGCAATGAGCGGAACGAGCAGCTCGCTGCAAGGAAATTGGCTGATAACTCCGGAATGCACACGCGGTGCGGAGCATACTCCCCCTTGACAGGAAGGTTAAAGAGCCTTTCATCTTCACATTGACCAAGGACAACGGAATTGAACTCCAATGTTGGGTCGCGACAGTTTTGTGATCTTGAACACAAAACTATCATTCCCCCCTTTCTGGGAGGATCTGTAACGTGCAAGTGACATCGCGGATTGGAAATTTACGTGGTCGATGTGTGCACCGTGTGCTCCGCTGGCGTAAATCGGAGTTGGCGGGGTTGGATTCACGTTGAGCAAGGAGCTCACGAACGCACGCGGATTCATGTATCCTTTCATTCTGGACGCAGTAACACATTGCGCAGAACGAGAGCAATGCGAGGGCTGACTACGAATATACGGTGCAGGTCGGGGCAGCCGCGTCCTGAACCTTCCCACAAACCAAATGCGTTGTCCGTGATGATAAATTCTTCCCCTTCCGCAGCTTCCCAGATACTGAAGAAGTAGTTGTTCGCATGAGTGTGGTAAGTGTAAGCTGGGAAGTTTTCAAGACCAGGTGGGATGTACGATTCAGTCATCATTTTTTGGAGACCTTCTTCGCCGTACTTCTCCACGAG